CAGTGTTGGGGTTGTTTGATACTAACATGCTAACTTTTAAAAGAAGTAGCTGTAATATCTCCTGAGGACATCCAGCACCGAAATCTGTGAATCCAACATGCGGAGCCAACAGAATGGAGACGACATCATCAGGGTTTCTGGGTAATTCCTCTCTGGCCCGTCCACATACATTTGGCTGTAAGGTGCTGTGTGCCCTCCTACCCCCCCCCCCTTTCCTGCCACATAAATATATAAAGAAACTCCTTCATGTGTGAGAACAAATCAAATGTGACAAGTCAAGTCTCGACTAAAGTTGTTGTTAAATCCAGATGAATCCAAGTTTATGTTATTCTCGAATGGCAAAGAGTCGTTAGCTACGATTAAAACGATTCAAGCAACTGAAATTTAAATGGTCACATCTTACAAGTATCTCGGGATCATTATAGATCAGAACCTTTTCAGAAATCCCTCCTGTTTCTCCCTCCAGGTGAGAAAACACTTGATTCATGCAACTTTTTTACCTTTATTGGATTATGGTGAGCTGCTTTTTATGAATGCACCTGCCTGCTACCTAAGAGGTTGGAAACTGTGTACCATTGTGCTTCATGTTTTATTACTGCCTATGGAAATCCACCTTTGCATGCTGCTGCTAAATGTCCATCTCTGCATATTCACAGACTCTCCCACTGGTTGATCTTTAGCTATAAATCTCTGCTTGGGCTGGTTCCCTCTTATCTGTGTGTTTATATGTGTAAAAACACAACCAATACAGCCTGCGTCTCACAATATCATACAAATGATTGTCCCAAAAATCAGAACAAGAGAAAAAGGCTTTTAAATACGCCGCCTCTGCTTCCTGGAATCATCTGCAGGAGGAACTGAAATGATCAGAGCTGGTTTAAGTCCGTCTTAAAGGACAATAACTCTGTTACTCAGTGTGATGCTTTTTAATGTCGCTCTTAATTTGATCTGTTATTGTAGATTTTTCACATGTTCGTACAGGATGTTGTATTTGTTTTAACTGTTATACACTTGTGTGGTACGTGTATCTTTACTTTTGTTGCCATGACGCCAGGTCTCTCTTGGAAATGAGATTTTTTACCAGGATAAATAAAGGACTGAAAATACAGAGTCATCTGCATACAGAGACATTAAACGAGAACAAAACTGATGTTGCTTCTCTGATTTACGTAAAATCAGAAGTTTGTGTGTCGTTAATATTCTGAGTTCTCTGTGTTTCAGTGATCGTTCAGCTCAGACTTCAGTGAATGTCAAAGTGTTTCCTTCGTGTGTGTGTGCGTGTGTGTGTGTGTCCATTTCCTCATGGCGGTGTTTGTTGTGTTTGGTCACGACTGATCACAAACAGACAAACAGAGATTCGATGGCCGGGTCGCTGTGCTGTCTGTAGCGACAATAACAGTATTTGTTGTGTTTATTAGTAAACAAAGAAACATGAAACGAGTCTTTGTCTTGGTTTGAGCGCACGCCGTGATGTCACTTCCTCTCAGCAACCGATGAAGAAGTAAACCGCTCAAACTCATTAGCACGCATGCTCTGTTTAATGCTGTAAATCTGATCTGAGAGCAGATTAGTGTAAGAGCATTACAGCAGAGCCGAGTG